TGCACCAGCCCGCCCTTCTCGAACGTGAACTTGACCTCCAGCGTCGCAACCACCGTCTCGCTGAGCATCGCCAGGGCCGGCTGCCACTGCCCGCCCTTCTCTCCCGTGAGGTTGGGCTCGAGCGTCGCCGCCGACTCGCTGAGCATCGCCAAGGCCGGCTGCCATTGTCCGCCCCTGTCGCGCGCATGAGCCTGACCTCCAACGTCGCGACCAACATCTCGCTGAGCATCACCAGGGCCGTCTGCCGCTGCTCGCCCTTCTTGCACGCGAGGTTGGGCTCCAGCGTCGCCACCATCTCGCAGAGAAGCGCCGGGGCCAGCTGCCACTGCCCACCCTTCTCGAACGTGAGCCTGACCTCCAGCGTCGCCACCGCCATCTCGCTGAGCATCGCCATGGTCGGCTGCCACTGCCAGCCCTTCTCGCACGCGAGGCTGGGCACCAGCATCACCACCATCTCGCTGAGCAGCGCCGGGGACGGCTGCGGCTGCCCGCGATTCTCGAACGAGAGCTCGACCCCCAGCGTCGCAACCAATGTCTCGCTGAACATCACCAGGGCCGTCTGCCACTGCTCGCCCTTCTCGCGCGCGAGCCCGCCGTCCAGCGTCGCGACCCTCTCGCGGGGCAGCGCCAGGGCCGGCTGCCACTCCCCGCCCTTCTCGAGCGTGAGCCTGGGCTCCAGCGTCGCCGCCGACTTCTCGCTGAGCATCGCCTGAGCTGGCTGCCACTGCCCGCCCTTCTCGCACGTGAGGTCGGGCCCTAGTGCCACCGCCATCTCGCTGAGCCCGGCTGCCACTGCCCGCCCTTCTCGAACGGGAGCCTGACCTCCAGCGTCGCCACCGACTTCTCGCCGAGCATCGCCAGGGCCGTCTGCCGCTGCCCGCCCTCCTCGCGCGTGAGGTTGGGCCCCAGCGTCACCACCATCTCGCCGAGCAGCGCCGGGGCGGGCCGCGCCGGCCCACCCTTCTCGAACGCGAGCTTGACCTCCAGCCACTTCCGTCGGGGATAGCAGTCTTGCCAACGCGCCGCTGTCCGAGCCGAGGCGCGGGATTCTGATGGGCGCGGAGACTCTGCCGGGAGGGCGCGCGCCTCCCCGCAGTGGCCCCCCCCCCCGGGGCGGTCGCGGGGTACTGCTGCGGGGCGCTCCTGTGATCCAGGGTCTCAGCGGCTGCCCCCGCTTCCTTCTGGCCTAACGGGCCCTCTATCACTTTGCTGAACCTCTGAGTCCGAAACCTCATTCCCTTCTGGCCTCAAGGCCCCTGCTCCTAGGCGCGGTTTTCCTATGTCTGCGAAGGCTCTGTCCGCTGGGCGCGCGCCTTCCCGCAGCGCCCCCCCCGCCAGGGCGGTCGCGAGTCGCAGCTGCGGGGCGCCGTTGCGATCCAGGGCCTGAGTGGCTGCCAGGGAGGGGGCGGGGGCTCGAGACACCACCGCTTCCTTTTGCCCTAAAGGGCCCAGTATCACTTTGGTGAACCGATGAGACCGAAACCTCGCTCCCCAATGGCCTAACGGGCCTCGTTTCGCCTTGCGAGTCCGATGATTCCCTTCTGGCCAAACGGGCCCTGCTTCTCTTGAAGAGGTCGGCTGGCTGCCAGGGGTGCCCGCGTGGGCGCCAGGACTCGGGCACGGGGATGCAAGGGGGCCTTGTTCGCCAAAGGACGCAGGGAGGCAAGGGCGCAAGGTACCTCGTCGTCAGAATCGTGAGGAACGTCTCCGTTCCCTTCTGGCATAACGGCCCCTGCTTCTCTTTGTGCGCCCGATGTCGCAACCGCTTCGCCCCCATCTGTGAAGGGGCCCTGGGCCACACAAATACTTTTCACACAACGTACAAGGCCCCCCATATTTTCCCATATTTTCTTGGTTTTTGTCTTCCCGCCCAATTCCCATATTTTCCCATATTTTCTTGGGGATCGACGATTAATTGTGTCTGTGTGTTTTTTTCCCTCCTGAATCTGGCCTGGCGGGCCCTGCCCCTGCTTCCCCTCGTGAGTCCGACGTCGCCACCGCTGCGCCCCCCCCTGGCCTGACGGGCCCAGCTTCTCTTTGAGGGGTCGTCTGCTGGCCGCCAGGGGTGCCCGCGAGGGCGCCAGGGCCCGGACATGGGGGCGCGAGGCCGAGTCTTCGTGGAGCCGCGCGACAGGGCCCCGGTTCCACCGAGCTGATCGCGCCCGCGCATGGCCTATAGATGACGCGCCGCCGGCATTCCACCGGACCACGGCGCACTACATGGAGTCCCAAGGTTTCGAGCGGGCCCGCCTGGCGCCTTTCTGGTTCGTTCAAAGGTCCTAAGGAAAAATTAAATTTCAGGTGCCCGTGGAAGTCGAGGACTGGGCCATAGCCTTCCAGGAGGGAAAAGAAAAAGATTATATCTAGAGCCCTTCCAGAAACGATTCACTTTCGGAAAGACGAAACGCCTGGACTCTGCGGGGGTCGACCACGAGGAAGAAGACTTAGGGCGATGGGAGATCGAATCCTCGCGGGTCGAGAAAAATACATCCTGGAACAACTTCAGAAGATCCCTGTGGCCCGGGGACGCAGATGAAACCACGGCGCTCCTCTTGCAGGAGGTGAAGTGGCGGCTGCTCCGCTCTTGGATTTGAAACTCCAATGGGTGGGGCGGCGGGCCAGGGCCGAGGCCACAGGGGCAGCTTCAATTTTGGCCGCGAAAGTCAACGGACCAAGCGTGAAAGACCTCCTGGAGGCCAACAGGATGGTCGATAATTCAAGGTTGACGGCCTCCATTCCCATCACCGTCTTGCGATTTAAGCCAGACGGCTTTGCGCTCGCCAGCGACTGCGGGGGCGCCGGGGCGGAAGAGAAGGGGGGGGGGCCTCAACGCCCCCAAGAGGCCCGGCAGGCTCACACGCTGACAACGTCTCGGCCCACGGTTCGAGGGCCAGAGCGGCTCCAGCAGCAAAGCTCGGGCGCTCTCACGACTAGGATAACTGAAACACGACGAGAGAAAACTGAAACGCGACAAGGCACGGCTGATCCACGACAAGCAACAAGCAACTTCGCCAGCCACTTTCGCGGCCCATTTTCGCCACCCACCTTCGCCACCCACTTTCGCCGCCCACTTTCGCCACCCACTTTGACCGCCCACTTTCGCCCCCCACTTTCGCCGCCCACTTTCGCCGTCCACTTTCGCCGCCCACTTTCGCCGCCCACTTTCAACCCCCACTTTCGCCCCCCACTTTCGCCCCCCACTTTCGCCCCCCACTTTCGCCCCCCACTTTCGCCCCCCACTTTCGCCGCCCACTTTCGCCGCCCACTTTCGCCGCCCACTCTCGCCGCTCACTTTCGCCGCCCACTTTCGCAGACCCCTTTCGCCACCCACTTTCGCCAACACTTTCGCCGCCCACTCTCGCCGCCAACTTTCGCGCCCACTTTAGCCACCATTTCGCCGCCACTTTCGCCGCCCACTTGCGCCGCCCACTTTCGCCGCCCACTTTCGCCGCCCACTTTCGCCACCCACTTTCGCTCGCCACCCACTTTCGTTCGCCGCCCACTTTATCTCGTTACCCACTTTCGTTCGCCACCCACTTTCGTTCACCACCCACTTTCATTTGCCGCCCACTTTCCTTCGCCACCCACTTTCGTTCGCCACCCACTTTCGTTCGCCGCCCACTTTCGCTCGCCACCCACTTTCGCTCGCAACCCACCTTCGTTCGCCACCAACTTTCGTTCGCCACCCACCTTCGTTCGCCACCCACATTCGCGGCGAAAGTACTTTCGTTCGCCACCCACTTTCGTTCGCCACCCACTTTCGTTCGCCACCCACTTTCGTTGAATTTCGTTCGCCACCCACTTTCGTTCGCCACCCACTTTCGTTCGCCACCCACTTTCGTTCGCCACCCATTTTCGTTTGCCGCCCAATTTCGTTCGCCACCCACTTTCTTTCGCCACCCACTTTCGTTCGCCACCCACTTTCGTTCGCCACCCACAGAGTGGGCGGCGAAAGTGGACGGCGAAAGTAGTGGGCGGCGAAAGTGGGCGGCGAAAGTGGGCGGCGAAAGTGGGCGGCGAAAGTGGGCGGCGAAAGTGGGCGGCGAAAGTGGGCGGCGAAAGTGGGCGGCGAAAGTGGGCGGCAAAGTGGGCGGCGAAAGTGGGCGGCGAAAGTGGGCGGCGAAAGTGGGCGGCGAAAGTGGGTGGCGAACGTGGGTGGCGAACGTGGGTGGCGAAAGTGGGCGGCGAAAGTGGGCGGCGAAAATGGGCGGCGAAAATGGGCGGCGAAACCTCTCGGGGCCTCCTGGGGTCCTCTTGGGGCGGAAGGCTTGAGGTTTCGGCTCGTAGTCCCCATCTGGGGCCCCTCTTGGGGCCGTCTTGGGGCTCTCTTGGGCCGTCTTGGGCGTCGTTTGGGCTTTTGGGGGGCCTTTTTGGGTGCCTCTTGAGCCGTCTTCGTGCGCTTTTGGGGGCCTCTTGGGCCGTCTTGGAGCATCGGAAAGCCGAAAATGCGACAAGGCCAAAATCCTTCCAAAACAATCGTAAAATTGCTCATTTTGGCCTCTCGGGGCGCTCTTGTGAGGCCTCTTGGAGGCCACTTGGAGCGTCTTGGCGGGTTCTTGGGCCGTCTTGGGATCATCTTCGGCGTCTTGGAGCGTCGATTGGGCGTCTCGGGGGCCTCTTGGGCAGTCTTGGGGGCCTCTTGGTGCCCTCTTGGCGCGCTCTGGGGGGCCTGAGAGGCCGTACCCAGGAGGAAAACCATTTCTGAGTAGACCTTCCCGGGACCTTCCCGGGCTGCGGTCGGGGTATTTTTCGCCGGGGGACCCCCAGAGGCCGCCCCGCGCGCCCGAACTAGAAGAATTATGAACCAGTTACCTGAGATCTTAGCACGCCTCTGGCCCGTTGGGCCGGCGACTTTTCCTTTCCCGATTCACCATTTCCTTCCTCCACACTACGTGGGCGCAGTACTGACGATTGCTGTAGAATCGAAGTGTGACACAAAAGCTAGGGCTGGAGACATTTTGTTATTCTTCGATACCGTCGGTTGTGGAACAGTGCGCGAGGTCCTGCGGCTGCTGAGCCGGTTCCATTTTTTCTGCACCGGCCCGGCGCCCAGAAGCCCCCACCTTTCGGGGGGGATCGACGCGGGGACGCGGCGGATGGGAGGAAGAGGACAGCCGACGTTTTGAATTTTTTCGGCCTCCAGGGGCCTTCGTCGGGCCCTGGGGCCGTAAGACAGCGATTCGGGATGAACAGGCTGGCCTTGGGGATAGGGTCTAGATCTCGAGGGCCCCCACAAGTAAAGATGACAAGACATCAGACGCCTGGGCGGGGAGCGAGGAGCAGGGCCGGGAGGAGGAGGGCGGGCCCCAGCAATCTGAGGACCGAGGCGGGGGAGCCGCGGCCGCGGCTTTGGCGCCCCGCCATTCGGCAAGGCAGGTGGACCGGAATTCCGGCAGAGGAGGCGCCACCTTCCAGTGTTGCGCGCCCTGCTTTGCTGGAAACGGGCGGCTGCCACAGCCGGGCAGCGCTGCGGCACCTGCGATGGATCGCCCGAGAGTGGGCGCAGGGCTTCGGGGACGGCCCCGCAGCGGAAGCGGCCGCCAGCGCTGTGACTCGGCGGCAGGGCGCCGGGTTGAGCGCGGCGCCTCACCGGGCCACCGCCCCGCAGCCACGCACCGTTGCAGGCGGCGAGTATGGATCGGAGGCTGCAGCCCTGCTGGCCGCAGGGCTCGCAAGGTGAGCGGCCGCGGCGTAGTTGGCTACCGCTGGCTCCCGGGCGCGTTCGCGTTGTCCTACACTGCGTTCGTGTTTTTGTAACCATCCTGCTGTCGCTGGAAAGCTCAGGGAGGTGTAGCCGCGTCATGTGTTGATGGTGTCTGCTGTTTTGGGGATGTGGGAGCTAAAGATACGAAGGGGAGGAGGACGACGAAGAGGAAGAGTAGGAGGAGGAGGACACTAAAGGTAAGACGAGCAGGGTGGGAAGGAGGAGGCAGAGGAGGGGGAGGACGAAGTTGGAGGACAAGCAGGAAGAAAGAAGGAGGAGGAAGAGGAGGAGGAGACCGAAATTAATAATAATAGTACCAATACTAATAGTATCCCTAATAATAGTAAAAGTAGTAGTAATAATAATACTTATACTAATACTAATACTACTAATAATAATAGTAGTAATAATAATAATAATACTAATAATACTAATAATAGTAATAATCATAATGATAATAATAATAATAATAATAATAACAACAACAACAATAATAATACGAAATATAATACGAATAATATTACTACTAAACGCATGAGTGATGATAATAGCGATAATAGCATAAGTTATTATAATAGAAACCAAGTATCCCGGCAAGGCAACCTAACAGCGATGTGTATAAGCATATTTGGAAGCATTCCCTTTAAGATTTAGGTGAGAATCCAGTTGTAGAACTCTGATGTTCTCGCAGTGGCAGTCGCATTCGCAGTGACAGTCGCAGTGGCAACGGCCTTAGGATCCAATGGAATCCTAAGGATTCCTAGGGATTCCTAAGACATCCTTAGGCATCCTTAGGAATCCATAGGAATCCTCAGGAAACCTTACGAATCCTTAGGCATCCTGATTCCTAGGGATTCCTAGAGATTCCTAAGGATTCCTGAAGAATCCTAAGGATTCCTTAGGATTCCTGAGGATGCATAACTATGCCTACGGATTCCTAAGGATACCTACGGATTACTAAAGACTCCTAGGGATTCCCAAGGATTCCTATGGAATCCTACGGATGCCTCAGCCTGCCTCAGTTTCAGCCTCAGCCTCAGCCTGCCTCGGCTTGCCTCAGCCTCAGCCTCAGCCTGCCTCGGCCTCAGCCTCAGCCTGTCTCAGCCTCAGCCTCAGCCCGCCTCGGCCTCAGCCTGCGTCAGCCTCAGCCTCAGCCTGCCTCAGCCTGCCTCAGCCTCAGCCTCAGCCTCAGCCTGCCTCGGCTTGCCTCAGCCTCAGCCTCAGCCTGCCTCGGCCTCAGCCTGCCTCGGCCTCAGCCTGCCTTAGCCTCCCTCCTACCCCCCCCTCCCCAGCCCACCCCATTCAGGCCTCACCTGGCCTGCCTCGGCCCATCATCCTCATTCTCCGCATCAGGCTCTGGCTCAGCCTGTCTCGGCCTGAGCTGCCTCGGGCCTCAGCCTCAGCCTGCCTCAGCCTCAGCCTGCCTCAGCCTCAGCCTTCTCGGCCTCAGCCTGCCTTGCTCTACTGGCCTCGGCCTCAGCCTCAGCCTACAGCCTCAGCCTCAGCCTCACCTGCCTCGCATGCCTCAGCTCAGCCTCAGCCTCTGCCTCAGCCTCAGCCTCAGCCTCAGCCTCAGCCTCAGCCTGCCTCAGCCTCAGCCTCAGCCTCAGCTCAGCCTGCCTCAGCCTCAGCCTGCAGCCTCAGCCTCAGCCTGCCTCAGCCTCAGCCTCAGCCTGCTTCAGCCTCAGCCTCAGTCTGCCTTCAGCCTCGGCCTCAGCCTCAGCCTGCCTCAGCCTCAGCCTCGCCTCAGCCTCAGCCTCAGCCTCAGCCTCAGCCTGCCTCGGCTGCCTCCCTGCCTCTCTGCCTCAGCCTGCCTCGGCCTCAGCCTGCCTCGGCCTCAGCCTCAGCTCGGCATAAATATGGCCAGGACTGGTGTTCTGGGAACACGAAGATCACGAAGTGGCCAACAGTTGGCTTCGGGCAATCGAAATATGGTACAGTAATGGTGTTCTGGAAACACGAAGAACACGAAGTGGCCTACAGTTGGCTCCAGGCATTCAAAGTGTGGCCTGGGAATGGTATTCTGGGAGCACGAAGAACACGAAGTGGCCTACAGCTGGCTCCGGGCATTCAAAATGTGGCCTGGAAATGGTGTTCTGGGAACACGACGAACACGAAGTGGCCTACAGGAACACGAAGTGGCTTACAGTTGGCTCTGGGCATTCAAAATGTGGCCTGGGAATGGTGTTCTGCTGGCTCCGGGCAGTCAAAATGTAGCCTGGGATAGTGTTCTGGGGAGTCCCCGGTTTTCCCCGGCTTCCCCCGGATCCTGCCCAGACCCCCTTGGGGAATCAAGATGCTCTCTTTTGACCCCACTAGAGACCTATCAGTCTTCGCTGTTAGGTAAATTATCCCGGCAAAGCAACCTAACAGCGATGTGTATATACATATAACGGCGCACCGGGTCCGGGGGCCCGGGGCCGGGACCTCGACCACAAATGTGCACCCCGGGGGGCCCGGAGGCTCGTCGGGGCTTGCCGGAGGCCTCCCCGGTCAGACAAGACGGCCCCAGAAGCGCCCAAGACGGCCCAAGAAACTTCCAAGAGGCCTCCAAGAGGGCTCCGAGATGCTGAAGATGGCCTCCAGACGTCCAAGGACGCCCCCAAGAGGCCCCAAGAAGCCTCCAACATGCGTCCCAAGAGGGCCCCTAGACGCAAAAATTGGCCCATTCCCTTCGCGTCGTATTTTCGTTTTTTCAACAAAGTCGCTTTTGGGCTTTCCGACGTTACAGGACGGCCCAAGAGGCGCCCAAGACCGCCCCAAGACGGCCCAAGAAGCTTCCAAGAGGGCCCCAGGACAGCCCAAGAGGGCCCCAAGACGGCCCAAGAGGCGCCCAAGATGGCCCAAGAGGGCCCCAAGACGGGCCCAAGAGGGGGCCCAGAGGGGGACCACGAACCGCCACGAACCGCAAGCTCGAGCCTTCCGCCCCAAGAGGCCGCCAGGAGGCCCCCAGGAGGCCCCTCAAGAGGCCCCAGGAGACCCCAGACGTCCAAGGACGCCCCCAAGACGCCCCAAGAAGCCTCCAACATGCGTCCCAAGAGGGCCCCTAGACGCAAAAATTGACCCATTCCCTTCGTAAAACGTACATTTTTCACGAAGTCGCCTTTTGGGGTTTCCGACGTTACAGGACGGCCCAAGAGGCGCCCAAGACCGCCCCAAGACGGCCCAAGAAGCTTCCAAGAGGGCCCCAGGACAGCCCAAGAGGGCCCCAAGACGGCCCAAGAGGCGCCCAAGATGGCCCAAGAGGGCCCCGAAACGGGCCCAAGAGGGGGCCCAGAGGGGGACCACGAACCGCAAGCTCGAGCCTTCCGCCCCAAGAGGCCGCCAGGAGGCCCCAAGGAGGCCCCTCAAGAGGCCCCAGGAGACCCCCAAGAGGCCCAAAGGAGGCCCCGAGAAGCCCCAAATCGGCCCCCAAAATGCTTCGAACCTGCTTCCAGGAGGCCCCCGACAGGTTCAGAGGCTCCCGAGAAGCTACGTCAAACTCCCAGCGAGCGGCCGGACGAGGCCCCCCAAAAAATCCCAAGAGGGTTCCAGTATTTGTATCTTTCAGCGCTCTCTGGCCTTCTTCCCTCTCTTTCTCTCTATCTTTCTCTCTCTTCCTTTCAGATTCCGTGTCCTTGCGACCTTCTGCAGTCCCCGACGTCGCCATGGCTGGATCCGCTGGAGCGTGTCTTGTGATGTGCGGCGGTGCGAAGCCCGTCCCGCTGATCAAGGCACAGGTACGACATGATGGGTCCATCATTTCTTGCCTTCCCATGTGCGTTTTCCCCATCGATTCCTGGGCCCGAGGTCGCAAAAATTACGACGTCGGAGGTCTGGGGAGGCGGGCAGCACGACCTGGACCTCCGACGTCTTGGAAAAATCACGACGGCGGTTTTTGTCAATTTTCGGCCTCTGGGGCCCCTCGCAGGGCCCCGGGACCGTCAGAAAACGACTCAGGATGAAAAAAAAAAAAAAAACAAAAAAAAAACAAAAAAAAAAAAAAAAAAAAAAAAAAAAAAAAAAAAAAAAAAAAAAAAAAAAAAAAAAAAAAAAAAAAAAAAAAAAAAAAAAAAAAAAAACATCCCTAGGAAGTCGTCGAGAGGTCCAGGGGCCGCGCACAGAAAACATCACGACATCGGACGTCCAGAGAGGAGGTAGGAACACGAGGAGGAGGGAGCCCAGAACTCCTGGCGACGCAACAACCAATACAAATGTTTTTTGGACGTTTTGGGCGGGGGCCGTTTCGTCGTGGTGGTGGTGCGGTTCGGGGCTTTCTTCGTTTCGGGGCCTTCCCCCGCCGCCGCAGATCGACGGTGACGATCCTAATTAGCTAGAACCTAAGCGCGCGCGAAGC